ACGCTGACTCACAGCCACACCAAATTTTCTTTGTCTTCAGAGCAGAGTGTGCATTTGACTCCATGCCACAGAATGCCATTCTCTCAAGCCTCTGCGCCTTCCAGCCCCATTGGTAGTATCTCCCCCTCCCTGAAGCCTTCCATCAATACTGCTAGGAGAGCCATCTGGCTAGATCACTCACATCTCTCTGGGCCTCAGGTTTCTCATCTATAAAGAGAGGATAACGATCGCAGTGCTTCAAAAGATTGTTGTGAAGAGTAAGTAGTTCATGTGTGTAAAGCATACGGCTGTCACATTGAAAAAACTATGTATATGCTAGTGTCTTTGCTGAGGATTTGAGGGGTCACAAGGAGAGACCACATCTTATGCAGCACAACTCTTCCCCATTTCCCTAGGTCTGCTTCTACTGTCCCTCTCTCTGTCCCCCTTCCCCCACCCCGTTGTCCACCACTATGAGATCCCCCAGGAACTCACTTTCTAGTCCAAAGTACTGTCAGGATATTTAAATAATAATAATTAATAATAATAAATTACACACACACACGGTGCTTTAAAGGAATTCTAATGCAAACTGTTACTAACACTTTCCGTGTTTGTTGGAATTAGAGCTGGAGTCTCTGGGTAATGCCTAAGGCACTTAGAGGGGATTTAATGCTTGTAGACCTAATGAAGAAGATCAAGACCTGCAAAAGTAAAATGTAAAGGTCCTTTTATTCATTTTTCTGTCATTCAGCATATATGTATCGAATGCATAAAATTTCTCAGTTTTGCCCTTAGATTCAGAGAAGAAATACAACCCTGCCTAAAACGGCTTACAGTTTAGTGGAAGAAACGGGACAAGGGAGAAACCACTTTCCTCAGAGGGGCAGATGAAGTGTTAGAGGAGTTTTATCCACAGACACCCTTCATTGCCCAAGAAGCCCTGCCTCGCAGGACTGCCCCTTTATTTGGTACCCAAAGTGGGGGGAGGACCTTCTTAAAACTTCATTCAGAAAATCCACTAGGAGGAAAAAAGTCTATAATGTTATCCCAGAAAGCAGTATGGTTAGCCTTCTGGTACCTATAAAGCCGATTTGTATCATTTTCCCACTTAAATTTAAAAAGACAACCTGAAAATAATATTTCCAAAGACCATTCTACATCTAAAACTGGTGACACCGAGTGCTCCCTATGGGGTTCTATTTCAGCTCACATTTTTCTCTGTTATCTATAAAAAGGATATTTTTAAATCTGAAAAGAAGCCAAATTCGAAATGGGGGGATGTGAAAGTCATACTATCACTTTTTCAAAATGTCCTAATTTTGCTGCCTTTTTTGAGTAACAAGATTATTGAAGTTATCTTATGTGTTAAATTGTCCTACAAAAGAAGGCAAAATGTATACATATAGCTATATTTACCTCCCTATTTTGTATGTCAAACCTTAGGCTATTATTAAAGGTCTCATTTTCAGCAAACCAAGCAACCAATACAAAAGAAAATGAAAGCTATTCAATCACTATCTAAGCTGAAAATGACATCCTTTGTCTATTGCCTTCTATGATATATTAATGCTGTTGCCAAGAGCAACAACGTGTTAAAAAATTCCATCCTTTAATGATACAGTAAAATTTCTGTGAAAAGCATCTTATTAGGAAAGTCAATATCTTTTTCCTTGTAAGCACTGGTGATTTTGGTTCTGTTTTTTTTTTAACAAAGATGTCTTCATTCTACTGTTGTTGAAAATAGTTTTCTAATAATCCTGCTGCAGTTTCAAATATTCATGTGTAATATCTGCTAACTGGGTTGTTTAAGAGCGCTTCACTGTGTACATTTTTTAAAACAACCAAAAGAAGAGTTTCTAATTAAGTAAAGAAAGTAGGACACAGGAACTAAAACAGCTATATGTTTCATAAGCCTTTGTGTTCAGATCACTTTGCTTACTCCACATGAATCATTCTAAATGCATGCCGGGTGAGGGTATCATTTGAGTACCCATCATCGCGTTCCCTAGTCAGTGGCGGATAATATCCATACTGTGGAAGTAATGAAATCGGCATCACATTAAATGATGCTGTCAGTCACAGCCCCTTGATTGTCACAGGCTGGAGTGACAATGCTTGATTCTACTTCTGAGTCCTCCATTTTCATAGCCACACAGTGACCCACCTCGTCATTGACCATTCATTGGTGCTCATTTTCTCAGAATGTAGAAGAGACGGCATACTCCTCCAGGTCCTCTCTCAGGGCGTATTAGAATGAAAAGTGGTATTTATGAAGCTATTTGGGGTTACTCCTGCTTAGAATTTGGAGTCAGCAGGATGTGTTAAGGAGAAATGGGAGCTTTGATGACTGTCTTTATCTCACTCACTTTCTGCATGAATGTGGCCAAGTTATTTAACTGCTCCCTAGCTTATCTTTCTCTTTTCTAAAATGAGGGTGTGAAATACTGGTTCTAAAATGCCTATGATCTTCTAATGGAAAAATATACATTTTACTTCTGACATCGCTACTACCTTACAAGTCATAAGTGCAAACTGGTCTTCAAACTGGGCTTTGAGACAATTAAGTATTTAGGCCCTAAGATACACCTTATAAATTTTTTATTTAAATAATATCAAAAGCACAAAGATAGAAAAGTTACATAAAATGAAATTTCCATATCACTCCTCTGATCTGCCTCTGTCAATAACATGTGGTGTGCATAAGCTTCCCAACTCTATTCTAGCAAACAACTTATAATAATGGAATTGTCGAGGGCTGCGCTGACCACGTGATTGGCATCACCTAAAATTGTGCTGTACACACCTATGCAACTGTACATGGTAACTCTACAGTTAGTTACTTTTCCAAAATGGCTTGATGGGTCAAGTATTTCCATTTTGAAAACTTTATTATCCTTCAACAAATAACAAGTGCTGGCGAGGATGTGGAGAAAGGGGTACCCTCACGCATTGTTGGTGGGATTGCAAATTGGTGCAGCCACTATGGAAATTAGGATGGAGGTTCCTCAAAAAATTAAAAATAGAACTACCTTATGACCCAGCAATTCCACTCCTGGGCGTTTATCCAAAGAAATCCAAAACACTAATTTGAAAAAATATATGCACCGCTATGTTTACTGCAGTGCTATTCATAATAGCCAAAATATGGAAACAACCAAAATGCCCATCAACTGATGATCGAATAAAGAAATTGTGGTATATTTATATAATGGGGTATTACTCTGCCATAAAAAGAAAAGTATGAAATCTTACCATTTGCAATAACATGGATGACCTAGAGGGTATTATGCTAAGTGAAATAAGTCAGACTGAGAAAGACAAATACCATATGATCTAACTTATATGTGGAATCTAAAGAACAGAATAAATGAGCAAACAAAACAGAGAAAAAACTAATGGTTGCTAGATGGGAGGGGGGTTGGGAGAGGGTGAGAAGGTAAAGGGATTAAAAAGTACAAATTGGTAGTCACAAATTAGTCATGGGGATGTGAAATACAGAATGGGGAATATAATCAGTAATGTTGTAAAGACTATGTAGAATGTCAGATGCGTGCTGGACTTATTAAGGGGATCACTTCATAGATTATATAAATGCCTAACCACTGTGCTATACACCTGAAACTAACATAAAATAATATTGAATGTCAACTATAATTAAACATAATTTAATAAATAAATATATATGTCACAGGATGTGAAGTACAGCATAGGGAATATAGCCAATGGTATTGTAATAGCTATGTATGATGTCAGACTGATAGTAGACTTGGTGGGGTTATCATTTTGTGTGTGGTGAGTGGTCTAATCATTATGTTGTTTTGTACACCTGAAACTAAAGATTAAATTAAATTTTAGAAAAAGAAAAACTATCATCCTTTAAAAAAAATTTTAAAGGCACAAACACAATAAACAATGGCTTAGTACTTAATACTACTTAATACTTAATCAACTTAATAATGGGCTAGTAGTTAATCAATTTGATAAACAGCAGGGGTAGTGATAAGAAGAAAACGAAAGTTGAGAAAAGTCTATATGAGGACATACCTGATTCTCTTTGGAAGACCATACGAAAGCAGCATCTCTGGGAGAGGTCCTTATCTGAGAAGTGTGTGAAATGCTTGACTTTTTTTAAAAGTCCATCGTCATCAACTATTACTCATTGCATATTCTGACCAAGAATTATTTGGCAAGGCGAAGTGTACAATGAAACGTAGAGTGGTTTCTTTCTTCACAGGGGCCATAGTGTTTTATGGGAAGCACTGAATTCTGTCTTTCTGGCTAGTTAGATGACATATATTTCCCAGCAGGAAAGTCATTTTATGAGGACGGTGAATCATTTGTGCTCCAGGAGCCCCATTATGAAAATTACCGGTTTAAATTTGAGCCTTAGGGATTACTGGGTAAACAATTTAATGTAACCTGTAGTACCTAGACTGGGAAAACTATCTATTAATAGATTAAGTTAACCTGATTTTTCTTACCTTCAGGAACTAACATGGCCAAAAAGCTGAGGAAAAACTTGTCAGGTTTTCATGGACTGAGCAAACTAACTCAGCATTTCTTATTTCTTGGAACCCTCCTCTTCTCCCACTCTGTACTTGGCTCGTGGTTGGTGTTCCTTCTACCTCAGTTTGTATTGGACACCCCTAAACCACTTCTCCTCTTGGACAACCCTTATTCACTTTCCCAATTCAGGCGTACAGATCAGTCCCTTGTGACAAATCCCATCTCCACTACAGTCAGAATTAGTAGCCCCTTCTTTTTGGTTTCTGAGCCTTGCTGTTGACAAATCAATCTCCTTCAGGAGACTGTCTCCTTCTTACGGGTGGAAAACAGTGTCCACAGCATCTGCATTTTCTGTCTGCAGGCCAAACAGTGCCTTGGAGGTGGGAAGAGTAGAAATGTTTGCAAACTTAATGTAATCATAAGGAAAATATGGAAACCTAGTGGGAGATTGTTTGCTTTAGAAACAGACACAGACAGCCTCCGTCAGGTAATCTTGTCTTTCCTAATCTTAGGTTCAAGTGACCTTGATCCTGCAGTGATGTTGGACCCTGGAGAGATCCTTGATACAGGATCTGATTATGAAGATCAGGTAATTAAAATCTAAAAATATTTCACTATTTAAATATTTTTAATTGTAGCCTTTATTACTGTTTCATGAAAATAGAATTATAAATCATTTTGTGAAATGTTGACAGATAAATAGTAACATATATCCCATGATCAATCATAATAGCCTACAACTTTCATGCATTAACTTTGGTCCTTTTAACCCTCCCTTATCCACAGATCCAAAATGACAATTAATTAAGGAAAGGTTTGTGGTCAAAAGTTAACATGCAGTAGAAATGAGGTTGCATGAAATGCTCTTGCCCAACAATTTGCCTGTGTCTCTATCCCTTCCCAATAATAAACCAACGGTATCTAGTAAGTGTTGGCTACAGGATCAGGGCTTTTCTATTTCTAACCTTCGAAAGGGCCTGATGGGCAAGGACAACACAGTCAAGGAGTTAAATATATTTTCTATTTGAATAAAACAATTTATCTAGGTCATTTTACTCTCAACAGAAGAACTCTCCTTACTGCTATATTTTAATGTTCCAAAATAGTTGGCAAATGATCCAACTCTCTAATTAGGCTTTATTTTTTAAAAAGGATAATGTCTGAAACTTCCCTCCACCTCTCATCAATGCTCCTGGCCATGGCTGAAAGCCAAGTGTTCTTCTGGGGGTTTTTCCCCCCATCTTCAACTAATGTATGTCACAAATAAAGCAGATAGATCTGACCATTGTCCAAATGCAATAGCTGGCTACTTCATGGACATATTCAGATGCTATTTTTACAAGCATTAAGTTTCTTCCCTTATATCACAAAGCAAGAAGTTATTGACAAGTGATATAATGGCCACCACATTCTTATATTCTTTAGCATTTTTAGGCACTTAATACACACTAAACATTACGCTAGTTTATTAATTTGATTATCTCACTGATTTCTCATAACATCCTTAGGAAATAGGAATTATTATCTTTATTTTATAGACAAGAAAATTAAGCAAAGAGCAATTTACCCACGTTTACACACAAGTTTCACAGTGGGGAAGTGAACTTAGAGCATGTTCCCTAACACCCACAATGTACTGCCTCTCACCCTAGCTTCCAAGACAGGCCATTCAGTGATACATTTGTGGAGGCTTTTCTGTTGCTAACCCGTAGACCCCAGGCAAAAGCAAACACCAAAGCATCACTCTTGAAGGTGAGCTCATGATCCAAAATTACCGGCTGCACAAAGAAATGGTCCATAGCGAAAAATCCAGCTGATTCAACAAATGGAAGCCTTCACACCCCAAGAACTAGACATAACAGAAAAGTCTGAAAGAAACCTTATCATAAGAATATTTTAAATAGTCAAGGAGATAAAGGGAAGATTAGACACCATGAAATAGGCACAGGAGAAAATGGAAAGTGGGGGAAGAAAAAGGGAAATAGAAATTCTAAGCACAAAAAAATATCATCATTGAAATAATAATTCAATTACCAGTTTGAATAGTAGACTGGACACAGCTAAATAGAGACTTAGTGATAGAGCTGAAAAAAATGTCTTAGAATAAAACAGAGAGCTAAATAGTTGTCAAATATAAGAAAGAACTTGGGAGACACTGAGTATAGAATGATTGGGCCAACATATTCTAAAAGTAGTTCCAGAAAAAGAAAATGGAAGGATAAAGCAGAGGCTATATTTTAATAGGTAATAGTTGAGAATTTTACAGAGAAAAAACAAGTTCCCAGATTGAAGGAGCATATCCAGTCCTGAGCAGGATAAAAAAATTCTCATCTATTTATTCTTTTTTCATTTAGTCATTCAACAAATGCTAATTGAGTACCTACTGTGTGCCAGGTACTATAAAACAGGCAAGAAGCTTACATCCTAGTAGGGAAGACAGATAGGAAACAATAAACATAAATTACTAAATTCTCTAGATTTTCAGAAATAATAAGTTCTATGAGAAAAGGAAAAGTAGAACAGGGTAAGAGTTAGAAATGTTGAAGTGGGGGACAGATTACAGTGTTAGGTAGAGTTGTCAGTGTTAACTAGGATGACCTCACTAAAGAGGTGAGACGAGCAAAGACTTGGCGTATCATGTGAAATATCAGAACACAAAAGACAAAAATAAAATATTAAAAGTGAAAATGCATTATCTATAAAATAACAGCAATTTTGGTGGCAGCAGAGTCAATGAAGCAAGAGCTAGAATTTATTGAGCACCTACTATAAGCCAAACACTGTGTTTTAGGGTTTATATGCATTATTTTTAATCCTTACAGTAACTCAAGAAGGTAGCTCTGTTTATCTCTAATTTATAGCTGACCAAACTGAAGTTCAGAGAAGTTAAATGACTTCTCAAGACCACAGAAGTAGCAAGCTGTAGAGTTAGGAATCAAAGTTTGATCAGCCTGCCACCAAAACCTAGTTTTACCTTAAACCACTCCAAATAAAGCCATTGTCAAGGTCACTGGTAATCTAATGCCAGTTCCAGTTAACACTTTTTTGTTATCTTTCTTGACCTTTGCTGCATTCATTCACCAAACTTTTACTGTAAAGGGCCAGGTAGTAAATATTTTAGGCTTTGTGGGCAATATGGCCTCTGTTACAGTTACTCAAAATCTGCCATTGTAGTACAAAAGCAACCATAACAATACTTACAAAAATGAGTATAGTATATCTATGTTCCAGTAAAGCTTTATTTATGGATACTGAAATTGGAATTCCATATAATTTTCATGTAATTTATTTCAACTATTTAAGAATGTAAAACCCATTCTTAACTGGGAGGCCATACACAAACAGGCAGCAGAGTGGATTTGACCTGAGGGCGGTTTGCTGACCCCAGCTGCAAACCATCCCCATCCCTTGACATTCTCCTCTCCACTAGCTTCTGACGTTTCTAGAGTATTTCATACTGTCCTAAATTCTTCATATTTGTTACCTCATTTTATCCTCAGACAATTATATGAGATAGATATTATTATATGATGATTTATTGTATTTTGTTAAAATATTTTTATTTAAAAAATATATTAAAATAATAAAATATATTATATTATTATTTATTAGTATTATATTTATTATAAGGACACTGAGGCACATAAAAATTGAGCAATTCATTCAAGGCCACACAGCTGGCAATAGGTAAAGACAGAATTCAATCACAACTGTCTGAAGAGCCAGAACCAGGAAAGATAGTCTAGGCTCTGCTACGGTGACAAATAAAACTCAAAATCTGACTGCTTTCCTTTTAGAGCTTATTTTAGATATGACGTCCAAAGAGATAGTGGATGGGAAGGAAAAGAGCATAAGGAAGATAGTCCTGCTCTGAATTGCACATTACCCCCTCTCACACTCAGTTGGCGGCCCCAGTCACTGGCTCTCCCTACGTGCAAGGAGGCTGGAAAATGAAGCTTCCTTAGTGTGCAGGAAGGGAGCGATCCATCTGGTAAGCACCGAACCAGCCTCGGCCACAGAGCTCTTGCCCAGCAATGTGCTTGCTCTCTTTTGGTGCTCCTACTACTTCCTGGTTCACTCATCCTTGGTTTCCTTGCTGAACTCCTCTTCATCAGTCCGTTATTTAAATGTGGATGCCCCCCAGTACCCTGGCAGTGGCCCCTTCACTCCTCACTGCACACATCCTTTTTTAAGAAGCCCAGTCATAGCCGTGATTTCTGCTTCACTAAGAGCTCCCTGGTGAGCTCCTTGTTGCATGTGTCTGCTGGCTGAACAGCAGTGGTTGGATTTCCCCTGTGCATCTCAACTCAACATGTCCAAAACCAATCTTACCATCTTCCCCCACAATATCTGTTCTTCCTCCTGTTTTCACTATTTCTGTGAATGATACCACCATTCTCCCAACTGGCCAAGCCAGAAACAAGAGCGTCTTCCTAGCCTCCTATCTTTCACTCCCTCCTTACATCAGTTTGATCAAGAAACTGGTCACTTCTCCTGTGGAGGGAATCCCTCCTTCCCTCTCCAGGTCCACTGTTGCTACCCTGGTTCACACCCTCAGCCTTCCTGTGTGGGACCGCTGAGATAGTCTCCTCACCAGTGTCCCTTCCCCAGCTCCTCCCCCACCAAAATCATCTTTCTGAAAAGCAAAAACAATCATCACATTCCACTATATAAAACCCTTCTAGGCTCCTCATTGATGTCAGAATTACTGTAAGTTGGAATCTCGTACCACATACGTAGGCATCTTCAAATCAGGATCTCACCCCCTACATCCCTCCCCAAACTCATCCCTTGCCAATCGCCAAACACCCTGAATGCTCCAGCCACGCCAAGCCCTTTACCATCCCCCCAGATGGCTTGTGCTTTGCACAGTCCCTTTCCTCTACATGGAAGCTTCCCCAACCTCATCACCTCTGTCCCAGATAACCCTACCCACGCTTCTTCAAAACCAAGCTTCTCCTTGAGAAAGCCCTTCTCTTGTTACATGTTCAGTTCACCTTCTCAGGGGGCCCATGAGACCCTGTGTTGTAATATTTGCTCGTATTGCAGGGACTGTATTCTGCTCTGTGTATCATTAATGCCTAAAACACAACCTGGTACACAGCATGTGCTCAATAAATGCCCATTATTTTAAAAGCCAATAAAATGATTTCTCATTCTTCTATTTAATATGTGATTGTTTTGATAATTTGCTAACTCTTTTGAGCCTGGGTTTCCTCTCCTGGAAAACGACAATGACTTCACTAGGAAGTACTGTTGTAGGGAGCAGAGAGTGCAAGTTCCCTCCTACAGAACAAATGCTCCGTAAACGGGAACACCCTTTCTTTCATCCCCCAAACCCAACTTACTGAACTTTTCAGAAACTGGTGCCTTTCGGTAGCTGACTGAGGCCACCATATCTTCAGCTAGGTGAATGCCAATTGTCTCAACACTTGTGATTTCTGGTCTGGTAGGAGCTTAGAAGTCACCACTCTGCCTAACAACAAGTAAAAAGCTGAATAAACTGAAAAAATCAACAATTCTTAGATCTGTTAGAGAAATGAGGTCCCAAAGCAAACCTCTTGTGCCAAAAATTGGAAAGACAGGCAG